TGCACCACAGCTTCTCCTCCACGGGCCACAGCAGCAGTCTCTCGTGAGCCACTGTGTCGCCCTCGAACGTCGCCACAATGAGGGCCCCTGGTACCAGGTCACGCCACCACGCCGCCCCCGCGTCGCGCTGGAGCAAAGCCATGGACGCGGCGGGGCTGGCCGCACGACCGCGAGGACGGAGCACGCTCCCGCACCGGCAAACTGCCACGGGTCCGGTTTTGCCGTGCAAGACGGGACCGCTGGACAGGGCAGGCAACTCACGTCCGGGCAGGCTCCGCAGACGATCTCAGGACACGCCTCCTGTTCGTGGCCTCCCGCAGCCGTCTCGGGCTTTGGGGACCACCGCGCTGACAGAAGTCCCCGCGCTAGCTGGCCCGCCTCTACGGCGAGGATGGCCCACACGGGATACAAGGCGCGCTCGGCCCGCTCCGCAGGCACAATCTTGCCCATGCCCCGGGGCGGCCCTCTGAGCACAAAAAAAGGGGGCTAAGGAGAGAAACTGCATTGGAAATGGGATAAGCCTCTCTCGACCTTCAATGCAAGCACAGGCAGTTCTGAGCGTCTTTCTGTAGCAGCAAACGGATAAGCCACTCTCGACCGTCACGTGCAATCACAAACATACTGGTGTGTATGTGTTTGAGATTATGTATACGTATATACATGTACACATGTATATATACATATGCATATATACATGTACGTGTACACACATTTGTTGAACATGATCTGGAAATGCGCCCCCATGATGCACATGCGAATCAGTTGTATCGTAACATGTCTTCCAAAGTCTGAACTTCCCCCGACAAGAACGTTTGAGGCTCGTTTTGCATGCGTGCAATTATCGTTGTGCGCGTCGATTCCCTGTAAAGCTGTGTCTACTTCTGTGCACGTGTCGTTTTACATAACATTCAATGTACATCGGTGTCTACATTCTTGTGTCGCTTTGCACAGAAATGCTGTGCACACCGATGTCTACATCATCGTATGCCGCCCGTTTTCCGTGTCAGACTATCATTGTCACGGGCAAAGTGTGTTAGACCTGGTCGGCGCCCCTCTGCACTCCCCCATAGGGAGGCGATTCGCCCCAACTCAACGCCACTCGCTCATGCGTCACTCTTCCCGTCAACTGGGCCGGCACGGAAACGGGAAGAACGCTGCAGAAACTTACCCGTGAGGACTCACATCACTCTTGTACTGGGAGCCTTGACGTTCAGAGCTGTTTACATAGTCTTTCGTACTTCGAGCCTTGGTGCTACGCCTGTTACGTCATCGCTCGCTCTCGGCAGCCGTGATGTCGAGAAGTTGCCACGTCACGATCAGCTCTGTGGAACCTTGGCATGAAGAGCCTTTTATGTCACCGTTCGCACCTGCGAGCCTTGGTGCTCAGAGTTTGCCACGTCGCTGTGAGCTATTCGGAACCTTCGTCTTCGGAGCTTTTTACGCCTTCGCTCGGTATTGGGAGACTTGGTGTTACCGGTGTGTCACGTTACTGTGACCTCTTGGGGGGCTCTGTTATTTGGCGTCTGCAAACCTTCCTGGGGGGGCTTTGGGGGCCCTTTTGGACAGTCTTGGGGTCCTCTTGGGCAGACGGATGCGTCAACGCACCCCCCTGTTGTAGCATCCGTTGGGGTGGCTCTTGCTCTTTGGGGCCCTTTTGGGCCTTCTTGGAGCTTCTTGTGTGGTCTTGGAGGCCCTCTTGAGCCGTCTTGGAGCCCTCTTGGGAGCCTCTGGGGCCATCTGGTGAGGATCTTTCGGGCCACCTGGGCCGTGTTGAGCCATTCTTGGCCCTAGGCGAGAACCCCAAAAACCTTCAAACGCCTGAAGACAATCGATGTCTTTGGCCTCCTGAGGTCCTCTCGGGGGTCCTCTTGAGAGCCTCTTGGGCGTCTCTCTCTGGGAGCGCTCTTGGCCCGTCCGGGGGGTCTCGTGGAGCGCTTTTGGGTCGTCTTGAAACCGTTTTGACCCTCTCTTGGGCCGTCCTGGGGGTATCTTGGGCCTTTTTGGGCGCCCCCCCCGGAACCCCTCCCTAAACGGCTACTCGCCCCAACTCACCGTCATCACTTGTACCTCGTTCCTTCCGTCACCTGGGCAGGCACGGAAACGGAAAAAAACATGTTTCAGAAACTTGCCCGCGAGGGCTCACATGACCCTTCGTACTCGGAGCCTTGGCGTTGAGAGCTGATTACGTCATCGTTCCAGCCTGAGAGCCTTGATGTCAAGAAGTTGCCACGTCATGATCAGCTTCGTGGAACTTTGGCACGACGAGCGTTTTACATTCCGCTCGCACTTGGGATCCTTGGTGTTCAGAGCTTGCCACGTCACTGTGAACTATTCGGAGCTGTGCTGTTGAAGGTTTCGGGGCCCAAACACACCCGCGAACTTCCCGGATGGGCGGGTAGAGAAAGGCCACGATGCCCCGGGACCCCCTCCGTGCCCCAGACGCGCATAAGCACCCTTGTGGAACAAAGTATGCTGATGCGTTGTTTTTGAATTTGGGGCCTCCCCCCCTCCTAGGGAACGAACTGTGGCAGAATCTCGCGAACCCCGAATCTGGAGGTCAGAGGAAGAACAAGAACAGGAGACACATATATACTCCGAGAGACCCGTCAGGGAATATGTTGTTCCGCCACTCTAGCTGTCTTGATCCTGTGGACGCCCGTGCTCTGCTGGGGCCCTCGTCGTCGTTCGTGCTTGGATCCTTGGCGGGCGAATTGTTGTACGGCATCGTTCAATCTTGGATGCCTTGGCGTTTCAAAGCTTGCCAAGTCACGATGAGCTCTTGGAAGCCTTGGTACGAAGTGTGAAAACAAGTAAGGGTACAGGGCTTGACCATGAGGTAAGAAGCTGAGAGCCCTACTCTGACGATAACGTCGGCGACGTATCGGAGCATCCCCTTGATGGCAAGCGAGAGGACCGGGATCGATAAGAGATGAGCCATGGGATATGGATCGTAGAATGACGTGGCCTTTGTCCGCTGTTACGATCCCCAGAGAGGTGCGCAGAGTCACGCGCACCTGGCAAATAGGACAGCGCTGCCTTGAGCCAAGACAACGTCGGATATAGCGCTCGCTAAGTAGCCTCTCCTTAAACCTCGTTTAAGTTGAAGAACATTTTGACGTCACCGGACGCTCTTCGAAACCTTCAAGCGAAGACCTTCGTACGACGCCGCTCGCTCTTGGGAGCCGTCATGGTGAACGCCTTTTACAAACGCCTCTTGGGAGTCTTGATATTACGGGCTTGCCACGCTATCGTGATCTCTTGGCGGCCACTGTTTATTTGGCGTCTGCGAGCCTTCTTTGTGATCCTTTCGGAGCCCTTTTAAACCGTCTTGGGGCCCTCTGGGATCGTCCTGGGGCCCTTTGGGACCGTCTTGTGGCGTCTTGGGGGCATTTGGCCGTGGTGGGCCATACTTAAAGGTCCCTTAAGGCACTCTCGGAAGGCTCGTGGGGCCATCTTGGGGATCTCTTCTGAGCCAGTAGAGACCCTCTTGAGCCGTCTTGGGGACACCTTGGGCAGTATCGGGGCCCTCTTGGGCCGCCTTGGGGCACTCTCGGGGGCCTGTTGGGTCGTCTTGGGACGATCCGTAAGGCCTCTTGGGCCGTTCTCGGCCCGAAAAGGCAAGAACCCTAAAAACTTTCAAAACTAAAAAACAATCAATGTTTGGGGGCAGCCTTGACGTTCCAAGCCTTCCACCTCATCGTTCGCACTGGGAGCTTTGTCGCTCAGCGCTCTTTATGTAGTCGGTCGTACTCGGAGCCTTGGTGCGCAACGCTTTTTACGTCATCGTTCGCTCTTAGGAGCCTTGGTATTACGAGCTTGTCACGCTATTGTGAGCTCTTGGGAAGCACCGTGATTTGGCATCCGCAAGCCTTCTTAGGGGTCCTTTGGGCGCCCTTTTGGATCGTCGTTGGGCCCTCTGGGGACGTCCTGGGGCCCTCTTGGGCCGTCTCGGCGCGCCTTGATTGCCTTTGGCCGTGGTGGGGCATCATTGGGGGTCTCTTGGGACCCTCTTGGGAGACTGTTGGGGGTCCTCTTGGGGATATTGTTGGAGCCACTCAAGTCTCCCTTGAGCCGCCGTGTGGCCCCCTAGGGCCGCCTTGGGGCCCTCTTAGGCCGTCTTGTGGGCCTCGAAGGCGGTCTTGGAACGACATTTGGAAAATTGTGGGCCGCCTTGGGCCGTTCTTGACCCGCAAAGGCGAGAACGCTAAAAACCTTCCAAAACCAAAGGTCAATCAATGTGTTTGCCCTCCTGAAGGCTTCTAGGGGTCCTCTTGAAAGCCTCTTGGACCGTCTTGGGGCCCCCTTGGATTGTCTTGAGACCACCTGAAATTATGTTGGAACGCTCTTCGACCGTCTTCGGCTCTCTTGGAGCGCTCTTGGGTCGTCTTGGAACCGCCTTGACCCTCTCTTTGTCGTTGGCCGTCCTGGGGTTATTTTGGGCCGTTTTCGGCGCGTTTTGAGTCGTTTGGGGCGGGGGGGGGGGGGGCGAGTTACACGGAGTTGCTCCCCCTACGCCCCTCCCCTCGGAACCCTTCCCCAGAAAACTGTTCGCCCCAACTCAACGTCATCACTCGTACCTCACTCTTTCCGTCCAGCGGCAAGAGCGATTCAGGAAGTGGCCCGTGAGGGCTCGCATCACCAATCGCGCTGGGAACCTTGGCGTTCAGAGCTGATTAGGTCATCGTTCGTAAAAAGCGTGTTACGTCATCGTTCGTACTGGGAGCCTTGGCGTTCAATGCTCCTGTCGCCATCGTTCGTGATGGGAGCCTCGGCGTTCCAAACCTTCCATCTCATCGTCCGTACTGAGAGCCTCGTCGATCAGAGCTCTTTACGTCGTCATTCGTGCTAGGAGCCTTGGTGCGCAAAATTTGTTATGTCATCGTTCGGTCTTGCCTTGGTATTATGGGCTTGTCTTGTCTGGGGTCGCCGACAGAGGCGGCAGCACTTTAGTAAGGATACATAGTCAGAGCAACAAGCGGCAGTAGGCATCGCACCCTGGCCTTGAGAGGGAACACCCTGTTCAGCGTCGAGTCTGAGAACACGTAGGCGAAACCGCCTAGTGGGAGATCTAGCCCGGGCACCTTCATGACCCATGCGTAAGAAATAGCGCCCTCGTCGTGGTAAGGGTCGTCGGGAGATAGATCCTGAAGCTCGTTGTAAATGATCTGGGTATTCTCTTCGTTCAAGGGTAGGGGATCGCCGAAAGCGAACGCCTGCTGTCCAGCTTTGTGGCTGACCTGGTTTATCACTATCGGCTTCACACACTCCCCGTCGTCGTCGATGTAGAGATACCCTCCCCATGGAAGCTCAGCACACGGGTAAACGAAGCAGAAATTCTCTGCGGTCAGCGGTATGAGGAAATCTGCCCGGAGCTCCTCTTGGCAACGCACAGACGGGGATGGGAACAGGGCGGGGGGAACGACCTACTGAGAAGTCACGGGTCTTCTGATGAAAAAAACTACCCTTTTAGGTCTAGGAGGCCTACAATGGTTCGGCAAGAAACCCCTTCCCTGAGATCCGATGCCGTGAATCAAGCGCACGGCAACATGGAAAAAGCATGGCTGGAGTTCTCGACCTGGTCCCTCTGCGGCATTTCTCGAGCTCGGCCGATCTCTGGAAGACCTGGGGCCTGAGGCAGCGCGGGCGAATGCCTTCCAGATCTACGGCCATGTGGTGGCCCCTGTCGCCCTCCCCCATTGGGACGCCGAGCATCCTTTGAAGGGGCCCTGGGACACACAGATAAATAGACACGAATAACAGGATTCCCTATATGTTCCAATCTGTTCTGGGTTTTTGTACGTCCCCCTCATTTCCTATATTTTCCCGTATTTTCTGGAGAATCATCGATTCATTGTGTCTGTGTAGTTTTCCCTTCTGATCCTTATCGAGCGTCACCTCCGCCTCGACGGACGTCGGCGTCGGAGCCTGGGCGCCTGGACAGAGAGGAAGCGAGGAGGCAGGAGCAGGACCCGGGCAGGAGGGAACGGGACAGGGAGAGGCAGGAGGAGGGCGAGGAGGACGAGAAAACGGAGGAGAGGACGACGGTCTCGAAGGTGTGGCGCCTGGAAAAGCCATCGCCCCTCGAGCTGTTCACTCCGAGTCGCAAGTCGCCTTGGCGAAGAGTTGGGACGGCTTCCAAATGCCGAGAATCTTTCGAAGCTCTACGGCGCGACCTGTTCGAGTCTGTGAGAAGGGGCCGTGCGCGGGCTGCGAAGTGAGTGTGTGTTACATATGACAGGGGCCTGACGTGGGGCGTACAACGCCGAGCTCCAGGCAAGGGCGGACCAGGCACAAACTCCGAACATGCTATGGATCAGCGACTTGGCCCTCAGGGGAACATGGAGGCTTGAGACACAATGACTTCACAGGGAAGGGGAGGGGACGAAAAGGATACTGATTTGAGCTGGACTCGGGTGAGACCGTGCCGGGAACGGCCCGGAACAGCAATACAACGAACATAGGAGAGGAAGGAGCATCGAACATCGAAGCAAGGGCATGATCCCGCATCGCGGGGCGTATGGCGGCGCGCAGCCTTGATCGATCGGGGAATCGATCCACCCGGCCCCCCTTCAATGCCTTTTCGTCCCTCCGCCACCTCTAGCGAAGAAGGGGAGAAGAGGCGGGGGAGAGAAGGGGGAAACAGGTGGATGAGCAGTGAGGAATGTGGATTCGCAGGCAAATTGCAAAGGAGGACGCATCGGAGCTGGAAATTGGCGCCTGGAAGGTACAATTCCCTTTTGTCTCTGTCGTACTTCATTTTCTCGGCGTCGCGCTCCTGAAGACCATTGCTACGCCTGCAAACCTGATCCCATCCCTCCCCCACCTCCCCCTCTCCTCCTCCCCCTCTTTTTTTCCGTGTCTCCTCACCCCCCTCTTCATCATCCTCCTCGTCCTGGTTTTCCTCCTCCTCCTCCTTCTCCTCCTCCCCCTCCTCCCTTATCCTTTTCTCCTCCTCCTTCTCTTCCTCCTCCGCCGCCTCCTCCTCCTCCGCCCTGCTCCTCACTTCTTCCCCTGTGCCTTCTCTTCCTTCTCCCACCTGCTCCCCCACTCCATGCTCCCCGTCCCCCTTCCTGCGCAGAGCAGTGCACCCCAATGGGTCACCGACGGGGCGCTATCATTGGAAACGGGAGCGCAAACCAATCGAGCGAGAACGTAACGGCCTCACGCACTAATTGGCCTTTTTGGCCATACGGTTCCAAATCTTGACCGCCCACACCGCCTTCCTCGCTTTACAAAGCTTGGGCAAAGAAGCGCGGCGGCCAGACGAGAGAACAAAGCAGGAGGACCAACCGACGAGGATGACGTCAATTCTCAAAGCGAGCAACACATGACGCGGTCTGGACCGCGTCCGTGAGCCCCCGCGAGCAAATGAGAGCTCGTTCGGCGAATGATGGCGCGCGATCCTGCACCAATGCAAGAGATGGTTGGAAAGGGCGACCCCTGTTGACCCGCGGGGCGGGACGCGTCGTCGCACTCCCCAGCCGTAGATACCATTTGCGCCACGTATAACGGAGCTTGGTGTGATTTGCTCAAAAAAGGAAGCGGTCCAGCAAAAACCCTGGACGCCTGGGCAGCCCACTCCGCAAACCTGCTGGCACGAAAACCTAGGGCATTATGACGCGGTTCGACAAACCCTGAAATCATACCGCGTGTGCGTTCTTCACCTTCACCACTGGGGCAGAAATCGCCGCGCCTATGCCCAGCAGAAGATGCCACACCTCACGCCCAAAGAGGGCGCTCGTGGTCATGACCTTGCCACATGCATCACGGCCTTTCCTGAGACGACGGCTCCGCTCGCATGGGCCGTTTGTAACGAAAGAAAAACGCCGCTTGCCATCGGGTGCCGCAATGCAAACTTCCGTGCAGCGAGCTCGCGTTCATGGTGAGTGGACAGGTGCCCAGTCAAAGATCCACCAGCAATGCGCTGCGGCTCGGGCGAGCACGGCATGAGAGCAACACCGGCCCACCCAGCCACAGTTATACGTGGCCAGCCCCCCTCAGAAAATGAGCCACCCAGGAAAACATCACCCAAGAGGTCGCGGGGCCCCCAACACAAACGGAGCTGACTGCGGACTCCAAGAAGATTGGGCTTCGAAGCCCCCGGGAGAAGAGCCAGACGCTGCTCAGTCCCCGGGCAAATTCGGACGACACCTCTGCGACCTGCACAGCGCACTCGCACGCAGTGTGTCGACGCAAGAGAGCACCGCCAACCTCCCCCTGTGTTGGCACCAGATCGCACTCTGCAATGAGGCTGGACATCGCAACCGCGAGTCTGTTGACCTTCGACCACGCGGGGCCCGAGGTAGGCGCGCAGTTCGGGTGGGGTCGTTAACTTTTTCCGGTCGCGCGGGCTCAAGTAGCGAAATGTTCAAACGCTCTGGGAACTACAGGCGCCCGGAGATGCGTTTGCACTGCCAGAGGAAGCAAGCATGCATCACCATGCGCTCAGTGGCGCCCGCGCGCATTCGGCGGACCGGCAGTGAAAGGGGGGGGGGAGGGGCCCCCTGGAGTCCGACGGGGTCGCCGCGCCACTGGCAGCCTCTATGGGCCATCGCGGATGCCATATTCAGGAGGCGTGCAAAAACATCTTGCCAGGAGGCAGCGTGGCCCGCGACGTGAACCGACGGTTTCCAGGCGGCGCCAACGTCAGAGCAAGGTTCCTCGAACGTCCATCTGGATCATGACCGCGGCGCTTCCCCGCCGACTATCAGCTGATTCCACGCCCCAGTTCTGGGCCCCGGGAAAGAGGTGCCGCGCGCATAGGCGCTCTCAATTACAGCCCTTGACATGGCCACCAAAGCTTTGCGCAGCCGTCTGCCACTCGCGAGGGCGGCCGCCCTGATGCCCCCAGCCTTGACGACGGCGCGTCGAGCATTGGCCGCCGGCTTGCTTCGAGCGCGTCCAACAAAAGCACGAGCGCGGAGATTCCCCCGAATAATAGCACAGGCCGCTCCTGGCCTGAATAAGGATATGGCCCATGTTCCCCGGGTGCACGACATGTTAGAAATGCTCTGGCTGTTGGCGACAGCCGCCGCCCCCCGCGACCAAAAGCGCCCGCGCCCACGCTGGGCGTCGCTCGTCTGCGCGAGGCCTGCCCTTGACGGGCATCACCCAATTGCAGCCGCTGGAGCGCGACAGCGGCGAGATGGCGGCTCGGGGCAACGGTCTGCTCAACGCCGACGACGTCGCCCGCCGCGTCGCGCGCGCGGCGCGCGGGAACCAAAAGCTCGAGAACGCGCGCGGGGAGTCAAATCTCGATGGCGGCCCGACGCAAGCGATGGCGCTTGACAAACTCGAATGGATCCTGGGGGCCGCGAAGCAGGGTCGCAGTCGACATGTCTCGAGGCGCGGAGCCCCCCGGCCGCGCGCCAGGAAATCCGAGCGCGCCTCTCGGGGGAACGCCACTTGACTGACCGCCAGAATGTTTTTGTCAAGTTCTCTTTCTGCCAATCGCTGAAAAGGGGGCGATGGGGCTGGCGCCTGGCGCCGCGGGGAACGCGGGGGGGCGCGAACGGCCCCTCGCGCGATTCGCGACGACGGCCGCCCCGAGCCGGCCCCAACAGGCCCCGGACAGTTCGCGCTTCGCATGGCGAAACGAGAGCGCAGGGGGGCGAAATGGCCAAGCCCCGCGCCCAAGGACGCCGCGAAGAGTTTGGCGGCCACTTTGAAACTGATCCACCGCGGGAGGGGGGGGGAGCCAGGCTTCCCAGACAACTTCGGCTCAATCCCCGCCGAAACTCTCGAATCTGCTCGCGCGGGGTAGCGGGGGGAAGGGAGAGGCGCCCCGCGCGCGAAGGCCGCCGAGTCGCGGGTGGGGGAGCTTACGAGCGCAACGACGGCGGCCCATTGTCAGACTGCCCGCCCACCCAACCCTGCCATTCGATGCGTTTTGCCTGGCAGCCCTCCAAGCTTCGCCACCCGCAGCGGCGCGCGCCGCCCACTGCAACGCCTGCGCGACGGGCGCCAGTGAACATGTCGGCTGCGGCAAGCGTCGGGCCCGCGCCCAGTCGATGTCATCATAAACCAGGGCGCGCGAGCGAGACAGAGGGACAAGTCCAATGACTGCTTCGGTCCGAACCGCGATCTTGCTGGGCGCCCGAGAGTCGTCGACGCCCACGGCGACCTCTTCCCCGCCGGGCATCAATGTGCGCGGACCGCGTGAACCTGTGCCCCGCGACGCCCGAAGGCATTGCCGGCGACGCGGAGGTCCGCGCGGCACCCCGCGCGCTTGCCGTGGCCCTCGGGGGCCACCTAGGAGACGCCGATGGCATCCGATCCGCAAGCGCGGCCGAGAAAAATGCCCCGCTGATCGCTGACCGAGGGCAGCCGGTCAAACTGAAGGCCGACGCCGCCGCGCCTCTCGACGGCAGGCGAACGCCGGCATCCACGGGCGCCTGCGGCCGGGACAGATCGAAGAACCTGTGCCGCCGGGGCGCGCCCGTCTGCCGGCGGCGCCACCCGCTTGCGTTCCATTGGGCAGGGTGGCGGCGTGGTCACTGCCCTTGCGGCCACTTCGCGCGTTTGCTCAACGCCTTCCTGCCCCCCTATTATTGCTCGCCCAGTGCGCTCGAGGCCTCCTTCCATTGGCCCCTCGGGCACCCTCTCTACGACGCGACAACGTTGCGACGCGGCGCCATCGCGACGCGCCGCAGCGCCGCGATGGCTCGGGACCTTGGCAACCCCGCGTTCGGATGCCTGGACGCGCGCCCGCGACGGAGCTCTCGCGGCGCCCGGAAAGGGCGCCTGACCCGGCGGGCCGCGCGCCCAACAGTGCGCCCTCCAAGACCGCGGCGCGCCCCCAAAAAAACTCGGCGCCCAGCGCTGCGCCCCAAATTGCAACTCCACGCGCCCGGAACAATTTGGGGCGCAACGCAGCTCCGAACTATCTTTGGGCACGGCGCAAATACTGCACAATGGCATTCGCGCTTGCGGGTGCAAGGCCACTCGGGATGGACCGGCGGCGGCCGCGTCGGAAAGGGGCGCCTGCGAAAAAAACGATCGGACATGGGCGCAAGGCCCTGAGCCCAATGACACGAATGCTCAAACACGCCGCGCTGCCCCCCCGAGTCAACGGCGAAAGTCCACGGGGACAGCGCCGCGGGCACCCAGGGTCGCGGCGGGGGCCCTCGAGACAACGATGCAATTTAGCGCTGCAGCCACGCGTGGTGTATGAAGTACGAAAATGTGCGCCGCGCGCAGACAATCCCTTCGCGCGCGCGTGGTGTGCGTCGCGACGGGGCGCGAGCAAATTTGGGGCACGCGAATTTGTGGGCACGCCCTACTATGAATATCAGACTTCACGACGCTGACCTTCCGGCGGCTCGAATTGCGCACGAGCTAGCTGAGCCCCCTGCGTTTCAACGCAGTCAAAAACTCGAGTCGACAGACTGAACTCATTCACAACCTGACCATGTTATGCTGTGTTGTTTTTGTGCGGTGCAAAGGTCACGCGCTGGCCCCCAATCGCTAAGAGCAGCCTGTTGCGATGCATGTTTCTTCTCGCCGGCTCTGCTGCGCAGGATGGAATATGCCAGGGACTCCACCAAATCGCAACAGAGCCCAATCGACGAAACAACATGACAGCTCACTGTCATGAGCGTGTCGATGTACATGTTTGGCGCGTGCTTTCGAAGCAGTGGTGCTGCAGCAGCCACAGCCACATCATCAACATCAGCCCAGGGATCATCCTGAATGCTGCCGCCAGTGACCTGGTCCGAGCCTGAACCGTGCACCGCGGGCACATCCTGTCCTGAGGCTGCTATAGGATACCCAGTTTGCTGAGGAGCGAGCCGCGCTGCAGGCGGTGGTTGATCCCCCTGTCGAGCCGCTGGCGAACCCATGTAATCGCCAGTCGCATTCGGCCGCCTTGCCCGCCAAATCGGAGCAAGTTTGAAAAAAACTGTTTCGTCAGTTCCTTTTCCTGGTCCTCAGCTTTTGCCGCTCCATGCGAAGAGGCATGACCCGTGGGGAACTGGAGCTACGCTGCGACCCCGCCTTCTGGAGCCGAGACTACGACGATGCAAATGTGACGCGGATTCCGAGATGTTGCTGCGGATTGTGTTGGTAGATTACAATGCCCCCCGGGACTGGATGTCACGGAGCATCTGCAACTGGCATGAAAGTGGCTGCTGCTGCGAACTGCACATCGCCCATGTCGACGAAGGGTTGGGGTTGCTCCATTGGTACGTGGGCTGCGGTGGACCCCACCACTTGCTTGAACGCTTACGACTTTTCCATGAATTCCAACTGCTGCATCAAACCTCATCAAGCAATTAAGGGCCCCCCCCTTCTCCAGCGAACGTATGACGCACGCGGCACCCCAGAAGCGATACCCTGGCACCTGCTGTCGTAATTATTTTGTGCGGGTGTGGTGCTAAGATAACGCGCCGTGCGTGGCGGGGACGGTATCCTCGGATGCGCTACCCCACGCGACGGCCTGGAAGAAACAATGTTCAAACAGGGGTGGCAATACAAATCTGACAGGACAAGGATAATGAGAAAACGCTGCTATTATGATTCGCATCCTTATGTGTAGTAGTTTTGGAAGTCTCAATATTATTCTCTCGATCAGTTTTATGGTTATTACTCTGAATCGGATTACGAGTATGATCATTATTCGCTTTCTTAGTTTACTCTTATTATTACCAGTATTATTATCGCTCGCCCTATTATCATTACTCGTATTCGAGTTCTTATAAATATTAAGGTATTGGTGATATGCATTCGCATTATGAGTATTATTCGCCCCATCATTAGGTTCGTTATAATTATTCGTATTCGTACGCGAGTTCGGATTATGTATTGTTAGTGTGCCTCATATCCTGACTCTTATTATTACCAGCATTAATAATATTACCCGTAATCTTATCAATATTCGTATGCATTGTATAACCCTTACTACTCGTATGTCACTCTTATTATCATTACAATTCCAATTGGGATGCCACCCGAGCTGGGGCGCGGGAAGTATGTATTGTCGTTCCATTTTCGCGGTGTTATTCATATCGTTCGGCGAAAACCGCCCCCCGGATTTATCTAATTGCGGTGCTGTGCTAACGATAACCCCGGGGGGGCCCTTAGTGACTTGATGAGGTTCCTTACTATAGGACTTGTTCGCACTCCATGCACCACCAAGCTCAGCAAGACGCCCGCGACGCATCCCGGGCAATTCACAAACGCAACGGTTGTAATAACTATCAGTCCGCATTACTGCGGTAACCGCAATGTGTTCGCCAAAGCTTATGATATGGAATGCACGCTTCTGCTTGCATCAACGCATGCTGTGTGAGGAGCCTCCTCCTCCTCCTCCTCCTCCTCCTCCTCCCCCATCCAAATTCTCAGCCCGCATCAATCATCCCTCTTACTCTGCCCATCCTTCTCGTCCGACGTCCACCCAGGACTTACCAGGCGTCCCGCCCTTCCCATCATTGGGGCGCACTGACATGAGCGACCACACCCAGGCGGAATTCGTGCCGCGCGGCCTGGAAGTCGGCGGACGCGCCGCCGTGCTCACGGGGAAACATGACGTCGGCGTGCGACGTAACGGCGCGGTGGGGGCCGAGGAGTCGGAGTCGGCCACGGCTGTCGTCGGAGCCGCGGGGTTAGTGGATACGGTGTCCAAGGTGCCCAGTGCGATCGACGCTGAGTGTCACGCTGGATGCGTGGCGCGTGATTCTCGAGGCGAGGAGGCTGACACACGCTGGGGAATGGACTCCCAGGCCGAGGCTGGTCGTGCAACGGCCGTTTCGGAAGGCCCACATGCAGAAGATCGATGACCACATCCTGAAGGTGAAAACGTTAGCAGGCGTTCGGATCCTTGTTGCGGGACGCGGGGGGGTCCTGATTTGATTGCGCGGAGGCGCCTGTCGACGACGTTGACTGCGATGATACACCGCAGCTCGACGGCCGCATGCTGGGCGAAAGCGAGCCGCTGAGCGCAAGGTGCTGGCGCGCGGGGCCCGGCCAATTCCGTCCCCTTCTGCCTCCTCCTACGCTCTGCGTATCTGCTTGAACTCCTGCGCGCGAAAAAGTGGGGGAGAATCGACTGCGGAGGGGAAGTGTGAAGTCTGCATCGGAGGGGGCGGGGGATATGTCGAGTTGGAAGCCCAGCCCAGGTGCTAAGCATGGGGCGGCGGCCTTCTGCCGCTGGGCGCAACACGGCTCTCAGCGTGAGTAGTATTCCCCAGCCGTCCAGAGGGCGACGTACTAATGGGTCATTCAGGGGCCATGTTGTACTCGGGGCTTCGGATCCGAGTGCGGAGTGGTTGTGCTCTACCCCGCTCGTGTTTCCAATATGGTCCTGTGGGTTAGCAAAACCATCCTCGTCCTCCTCGTCCTTTTCCTTTTCATCCTCCTCCTCTTTCTCCGCTTCCTCCAATTCAGATTGCTCATCTGATTGTTCCTTCCTCCGCCCACGCCCTCGTCCAAAACGAAGGAGGAAGGCAGAGGGAGGTGGACATCGGAACTGCGCACTGGCGGTCGAAGCTAAGGGTGCCCAGTTTCCTTAATGTGCCTCTTCACGTACAACGTGTCGAGAGTGGCTGGGAACTTCCTGTGGGGATACCTGCGCACAGGCTCGAAAGAGTCGCCGCGGAACACCACCATCTCCTCGCAGGGGCCCAGACGAACGTAGAGAGAGGGGGAGGATGAGGCGTGCTGACCTGAGCTCGACCGTGGCAACCCGCCAACAGAAATTACACAAGGCTTCGAGCCTCGTAAAAGCGCTGGTTCGCAGCAGACACGGTGATTAGTTGGCGGGATGCAAATGGGGGGATAAGTCCAGATGGGGAGAGAGGCGCAACCGAGGTACAATTTGTACCTACGCCCCACGGAGAAGGTACATGTACCGACGCCACGCAGACAAAGTACAAATTGTACTTGTGACAACGTCCGCGGCATGTGCGAGGATGTAACGGGGGGGAGAAGGTACAAATTGTACTTACAACCCGCAGAGAAGGTACAATGTGCACCCCAACAAAACGGTACCGGATACTCATCCCCCCATGTCCTGACCCCCCCATCGCCATCCGGCCGAATTAGGGAGCGATCACCGGAAAGGGAGGAAGAGGAGACTTGGCGGAGGAGGAGGAGGAAGAGGACGACCAAGACGAGACTGGAGACATTGATGTAAGAGGCGGATGACAAAAGAAAACTTACGGTATTGTTCCACAGTGTAGATGAAAAACAACGTGAATAAGACGGGCATGAGGTGGGGGCGCTAGAAACGCTCCTTGAGCCGAGCGCCCAGGCAACGCTATAGCAGGCCAACCACCGCAAATCATGAGACGGCGGGACTACTGTTCGGGTCTGGTGCTTAAAAGAACCCGTTGCGCTTCGTTCTTCGCCGCGCACCAAACGCGCAACAACCCGCGAAACATAAATTCCGGCTCGGCAGAAGTGCTCTACTGACCAAACTACACGTGCATTACAGGTGAGAAGAGAGCTCTAACAGCCCCCGACGAAACGGTTCCCTGGCAGTAGACAGCTGGTGGAACATGGACTCATAGATGCTGCTGCTCCACCGACGCAGCCAACTGGAGCCGCACTCGCGTGCGCGCGCGGTTGTTTGCGAAACTTGGCGATCCGATGACTTAGTCGCCCTCTCTCTTCGTGTGTTATCTGCGTGAGACCGCTGTTCTGGAAGCGCGGGGCGGTATGGTTGTTCCTCTCGTCGCACAGTTTGACGGTAGCTGATGTCACCGTCCATAGCGTCGAGGATGAGATCCCTGCCGATGCTGCCCTTCGTCTTGGGATCGGCCCTGATGCCCCGAACGTCGCCCCAGAGCGCGTCCTCGATCAGCGCGGCGCGGGGCTGCCAGGAAACCGCCGTACATGACCCAACGTGCTGTTCTCGGAAGGCGGCCGAACAGGGTCCAAAGCCAAGGCGCTGAAGACGGACATGCCGTCCGCGACTAGCCCGGCAAGCGTTGCACATCCCCCTCCCCCTTGCGCCTCCTGATCTCTTCAGCTGAGGCCGGGCCACACACTGTCTCGTGCAGCATGAGGAGCTGCGCCTGCAGGCAGTCTGCTGCACCGCGTGCCGCGAGCAGCCCTGAACCGAACGGCCCACGGCGTCTAGCAATGGGGGAAGCCTGTTTGCCAGTTCGGCGACACTTGCCGAGACGCATGTATACGGCTCCTCTCATGCCGTACACGGCCCCCTCCTCCACCTCGAACGACGCGTCGCTGTGCGCGCTGAGTCGCCCAGCGCGCCCAATGGCTGGGAACGCGACGCGCGCCTTGACCTTCCGCGTGGCCAGGACGACGGAGTTGAACTGCATCGCTCGGCGGATGAGAAGCTTGTTCTTGGCACCCTGCAGGAGGGCGATGCACGCTGCCACGTGAGGCTGGGTGAGCAGAACGGTAAAAAAAACTGCTCGCAGGTGGGAACAGCGCATCGAGCCCATGCCCGACGGAGCTGGCCACCGCGGGAAGTTCAGCCCGCGTGGCTGCATGCGCATGTCCAGGCGGGCGTCGCAGGGCGCCGCCGTGTCCGACGCGAACCCGAAGCTGGACGAGCTGCCCAAGGACTGCACGAGCTGGCCGAGGTGTCCTGGGGGCAGGGGCCGGCCGCGAAGACTGCGCAATGTCCTGGACGAGCGCCGGCGTTGCCGAGGCGCGCCTCTCCTCGCCCAGTGCGGCCCATCCTTCGGCCAAGCGGAGCATTTGGAATGTCATCGGCGGCGTTGGGTCGCCATTCATGAGCCCTCCTTGGATCAGGACGGAAAGCGGCCATTCATCCACGCACTCGCGAACCATGCCGGCGAGGCGCCACGAGACGTAGGCCACTGACCAAACCATCACCTCGCGCGCCCATCGCTGGACAAATCAGCACTCGAGATCGCTGCTCGGGCCCTCAGGCGCGGAGATGGTGCGCGTCACCGCCGCCGCCGCCGCCGCCTCCCGACGGCAAACCTTCGATTCGGAATGGAGCCCCCTCCCTGTCTCGAGGAGGTGCTGGAGTCCAGGGGTACACCAGCGGCGTTGCTCTGGCAAGGGGCCTTGAGCCGCCACGAATGCGTGCTCTGGATGTATTTCTGCTCGTCTGCACATTAGCCCCGAGCTTCCGTCACGCGGTCGCGGTGCTGTCGGTGCTCGGAACATCCCGCGGCACAGTCATAGGAATACTCCTTACCCATTGTATTGGCACTGCACTGAACACCACCAACTGCACGACCGTCAAGAGGAATAGGCATCAGGACCCATCCCTGCCGAACTGTAGGGAATGCTTGGGGCAAGGCGAGGTTATCTTCCAAAATCGGAAACGGATAGTCCCAACTCCGTGTTGTGGCCAATCGGAACGCTGACCGCCAGGCCCTGCATTGTGTTCCCGCTCCTCTCTGTTTGCTCCCCCCAGCGCTCTCGTGACACATTCGCGAAACAATCGCGGCCTTTGGCCGGCGCCGCTGCTGTGAACGCTGCATTAATCAACTGTCCACTATTGACGGCCACGCCCACGTTTGTGGCTGTTCCCACGGACGGGTGCGTCGAAAACGTCGGTCCACAAGCTGCGCTGGAGCAGTCAGCGCGAGCCGGGGAGGGACCAGAGAGAGCCAGCGCGCAGCTGGTGACGTGAATGTCATTCAAGGTCTTGCTCGCGTTCTTGAAGACATACAGGTTGTGCGCGTTCCCCTCCGCAGGTCCTGGAGGCGGAACGGCGAATGCCGCAGAGGTGGTCAGGTAGTATGCAGGAACACGCTGAATATGGTAGCTGCGTGATCGCGACGCGGTGGAGAGGCGGAGCCCCGGAAGACGACGCGGGGAGAGGGCGAGAAGCCATTGCGGCCATGGAAGGGAGCCATAACCCCGCTACCAAAAAGAGAAATGGATGGGATGCAAGAGGTAGATGGCACAAATGTTGCGTTTCTCGTTTCTCCTGCCACTTTCTATTGGCCCCCAACTTCCCCTGGCACCGGGGGCAACCCAAGCAACCACTCCGTCAATATCGCTTTCAACCGCGGCTCACTTACACCCAGGTCACCTAAACCCAGGGCGTGACGGAACCAAGGATCTCGAGGATGTCTCAAGCGAAACGGGCCTGAGCACATCTCGGACCAAATCTTGGAACCCGGACTCCAGCAAAACGGGCCGGAGCACCTCGATTCAGGGCATCTCGCAATACCCCTGGGTTCGGGGATGTCTCAGGCGAAACGGGCCTGAGAACCTCGCAAACCATATCTTGGAATTCAGAGTTGTGAGGACGTTTCAAGTCAGGGCATATCCGAATCTCTCATGTCTCAAGCGAAACGGGCCTGAGCACCTCGTGAACCGCATCTTCACCTCAGAATTGTGAGGACGTTTCAAACGATACGAGCCAGAGCACATCAAGTCAGGGCATCTCGAAACTCGGTGTTCCGAGGATGGTTATCTGTGGGCCATGCGGCACACCCAGCTCTTTTGAGGGCAACCCCTCCCGGTCACCTCCACGGCACCGCCGTAGGGGTTGCCGGGGTCACCCGAATCTGTCCCGGGCAACCCAGGCACCAGGGCTCAGGTGCACCGCCCCCTTGCCAGCCAAGGCAAGCCTTGGATGGGGCCAAAAACAACCCCAAAAGCTCCCCCTCCTCATTCGCTTCGCGCTCCTCAACAGTCGCTCGGAATTGCGAGGCGTCTCATGCGAACCTGGCTGGACCCCCTCGCCCCTCGCCTGTGGCATCGATTTGCCCATCATTGCGGTGACATTTCAGGCGAAACATGTAGCTCGCGGGCGACACCTTGAAACCTAATGTCGCGACGATGTCTCAATCGAAACGGACGAGGCAACCTCAGGTCACGGTATCCCCGAGCCCAGCAGCTTTGGGGATGTTTCAAGCGATGCTGTCCAGACCACTCTCTCGCGTAGCGCCTAGGAGCCCAAAGTTGCTAGGATGTCTCTAGCGAAGCGGGCCAGGCCATGTCAAATCTGGTCGTCTCGGAACGCAGACTAGTGAGGATGTCTCATGCGGAATGGACAGAACTACCTCCGAGTGTTGCCAATGTCTCGACGCGCGGGCCAATCGGGTGGCATTCCTGTTTACCGCCACATTGCCCCCTTTGGCACCGGCCGGGCGACCTGGGAACACTCCAAAATAAAACCTATCGAACAGGAACAAACGAAAATGTTCCCATGTGCACGATTGCTAAATAAGGCAGGTACTTAACAGTGTAGAAGGCGGGTATAATGTGGGCGCGCTGGAAACGTCCATTGAGCCAAACGCCCAGGGAAACACTAAGAACGCCAAGCAAGGCAAGGTGGGAGAGGGCGGGACTAGCGTTCGAGTATGAGGAGGAAGACTCTAGAAGACGCTGGTAGCGGATTATGTCCTTTTCCCGCGGGCTCCCCAGGGTGGCGCTGCAAGCCAATACCGCCACCTAGGAGCCTCTATTCTCGCCCAGCCGAGGCTCGCCCACGCGTGCGCCGCCAGTGCGCTCCCGCCTCTGGACAGCGGCCCGCGCCTCGGAGCGTCAGGGATGACGTCCAAGTCCTATTAGTTTTGCTGGAACAGGCTCTCGATCTGCCTCAGGGCGTGCTGCGCACCAGCGAACTACTTCAGGTTGTGGTCGTGTACGCGCTGCTCCCCTGACTGCGTGAGGTGCTCGTCCTTCCGCTGGAGGGTCGTGGAAGGTGGGTCTGGCGATGTCCTCAAGACCCTTCCACTTGCCATCAAACTCGGCCTTCGCAACGTCAAAGTTCGCCTCGTAGACCTCGGCGACCGCCTGCTCCGTTTGCACCAAGAGCCTCTGCACGAACACCTGCGCTTCATCCCACGCGAGCGTGATGCCATCGACCTTGCCTTGCGCCGCCTCCACGGTCTGGTCAACCGCCTGGGTCACGACCAGCGGTTCGTGGTCAAGACTTCCCACACGATCATCTGCACCTTCTCGGTCTCCTTTTGGGGAGCGCCACCCAACGCGTCCTTGAACTCGCACGCAATCATATGGTCGGTGAAGTGCCATGCCTGGCGCCACACGCCTGGCCAAGCAACAAAGCCATCCTGGGAGACCTGGTTGCGCAAATTCTTGCCGCTCACAGGGGGGCTGGTGCGGACATCGCGCCCACCGGTCTGCACGTGATTCTGGATGACGGGCCCGACTGCCTCCATCCTCTCCTTCGGCTCCGCGACGCTGCAACACCTACACCGTCACGCGGACGCACGCCGTCGCCGCCGCCACAGCCACTGCTGCTCGTTGACCTCCGCCCGTCGTGCCCAGCACGACGCCCTCAACGATCCGCGTGAGCTCGCTCGAGACCCGTACGGCAGGGCGCGCGCCGCTGTGCGGGGGGGAGGAACGCAACACTTGAGCCAAAATGGAGGAGGAGGAGGGAGAGGAGGAGAGGAGGAGAGGAGAAAGAAGAGGAAGATCATGAGGATAATGTAAGGAGAAAAGGAGGGGATTAGGCGGAGGAGGAGGAGATAGGGAGAGGGAGATGAGGGGACAGGTACAGGAGAAGATAAAAGGGACGGGGGGGGAAAGAGGTGAGCGGAGGAGGAGGGCCAGTCGGGGACAGACGGTCCAACCGCCAACACGAGTGAGGCGGGGTCGTGAAAGGACAGGGCAGTGTACGGGACGCATCTACCCGCCTCTTGCCCACGGAGGAGTCCAGACCCGAAGCTTCTCTCTTTGATGGCATGGGCATCCCACATGCTGACCTTCCGCAGCGCGAGGAGCGAAGGAGGGGAGCTTGGCGCGCGAACAACTCTGGCAGGCTGGTATATCACAGAGACGATCGCAAAATCTTCTCAAACCGAGACTGCACCCCTAAGGGTGTCCGAGGGATGTCATGCCACAGGGGCCCAAACCGGCTGCTTCTGTTCAAGCACTCAATCACCTCTCCAGCATCCGCGAGCAAGGTCTGACGCGGGGGCTTCGACCCAATCTCATCCCCCCTGGCGCAGACACCAGAGCACCAGGAGGTGGGAACGAAGTGGTGGGAACGAATCTGGAACACCAGCCCCGACCCCAGACACCCGGGATCAGACGGTGGGGCGCTGGATTTCTGAACCGACTCTGAACAGCCGGCGGGGGGGGCGTCGGGGCCTTCCAGGCCCCCCTGTCTTCGCGCGCCCAGCTGCGCGACGCGCGAAGCGCGACTCCCCGCGCACCCTCGCGCGGCCCCGTGGGGAAGGGAAACTCTTCGGCCCCGGTTAAGCGACGTGACCGGCTTGTGGGAAAAATACACGGTCTGTGGAAAAAACACCCCCGCAAACACACACACACACACACACACACACACGCGGTGCAAAAAACACAAACAAACTACACACAAAACATGGTGTGTGGTTTTCCCCCATGTTTATTTTGTCCACGAGAAAGGTCTCCTCGGCCGCGGCTTCCAGCACGCGCGCCGCCATGGGAGAGTTAACGAGCATCAGGTTCGACAGCAGGCAGGTCCTCTCTGGGCGGGCTACCGCTCCGCTGGACCCCAGAACCGCACAGAAGAACAGTGCACCGCTGGAAGCAGAAACCCAGGCATGTCCTGCCTGAGCATGATGGTATTTACCAAACGCGGCAGCCACCCCGTCGGTTGCCCGGGCGGGGCAGCAGCCCCGTCGGACGTCCACAATCCTCCTCCTCTTCCTCCTCCTCCTCCTCCTCCTCATCATCATCATCAGCATCATCATTATCCTCATCCTCATCTTCATCCTCATCCTCATCCTCATCCTCATCCTCATCCTCATCCTCATCCTCATCCTCCTCCTCATCATCATCATCATCATCAGCAGCATCATCCTCTTCCTGCTCCTCCTCCTCCTCATCATCCTTCTACTCTCCCTCCTTTTCGTCCCTCCCCCTCATCATCGGCCTAACAAGGAGGAGGAGGACATCCTCGCAACATGCTCCGAAAGCAAGAAATTGTGGAAACCGAAACAAGCAAACAGCCTGAGACACCCCCACAAGCTGGGCGCGAACGGGCCCGTAAGATACCACCTGGCGATCCCCCCTTCCCCCCCCCCCTAGGGAGTGCTGACACCAGCGCCTCGCATGAGACATCTGCAGAAACTTCCCCGAAAGCAGAACATGTTGAGCACGCAAACAAGCAAACCGCCTGAGGCATCCCCAGAATCTGAGCGCGAACGAGCCTGTGCAATACCCCCTGGCGCCCCCCCTAGGGAGTGCTGAAACCAGCGCCTCGCCTGAGACATCTTCAGAAACTTCTCCGAAGCAGAAGATGCTAAGCACGCAAACAAGCAAACCGCCTGAGACCTCCCTACAATCTCGGCGCGAACGGGCCCGTGCAATAGCCCCTGGCGCCCCCCCGTAGGGAGTGCTGAAACCGGCGCCTCGCCTGAGTTTGACTGGCTTAGGAAGAGCGAGCCAGAGTATCATTCAGTGTGAGTCTGAGTGTCAGAGCATGAGAGAGTCTGAGTGGTGAGGGGATCTGAGGTATGAGCGATGAGCGATTCTAGGTCTGAGTGATGGATGCATCTAGGCGATGAGTGAGTCTGAATGGAAATGAGCGAGTCAAAGCATGACTGAGTCTGAGTGATGAGTGGGTCTGAGCGATGAGCGAGTCTAGGTCCGAGTAATGGATGCGTCTAGACGGTGAGTGAGTCTGAGCGACGAGTGAGTCTGAGTGAGTGAGTCTGGGTATGAGTAAGTCTGAGTGTGAGAAGCTCTGCGTGACTAGTGGGTGTGAGGGAGGTGGGTGGGTAGGTGTTTCCCTGGCGCAGACAAAGTAATAACAAGAACCCCACCTTAGGAAATGGGGAAAAACTTGAACTCTCTTCAAGGTCCAAGGTGCGAACGTTAAGGTTCGCAGAGAAAGAGAGCGAGAGAGGGAGAACAATACTACATGGATGGCAACACACACACATAATGACAACACTTTGGGATATCATGGAGACCATGACGGAGGCTATACAAGAAACCCTGCAGGAGACCAAGGGAAATCATCAGGGATATCGTCACGGGAACCAGAAGCGAGACCATAAGGGAAACCGTCCAGAGGACCATGCGGGAAACCAAGAGCCACCCAGTCTGCATCCGGATTCGTTCACCCCCGACTTTAGACGCAAACTGTGGTACCCGTACAGATAAGCTGTTTGGGGGATCGTGGACATCCGCATACGGCTCCTCCGCCAACGCAACAACCAGAGGGGTAGCAGGAGGAAATGCGGCGCCGATGGAGAAACAGTCCATGAACGCTCGAGCTTTACGCTGATGTGCAGTTCCCCCCTCCCGTTCTGGGCTCCTCTCCCACCCTCCGCCTCCGAGTTCTCTCCTCGGAGGCTTCTCTCGCCCCGAGCTATCTGGTGCCGCCCGAGGAGTGTCCTCCGAGCGTCCGGTGCGCTGGGGGTCTGGGCTCCTCCGCGTGAGGTATCCGGCGGCAGGCGAGGTCGACGACAGGCGGACAAGTTCGAGGACTAGGGGAGGCTCGAGGGCAGGCTCGACGAGGGCAAGCTCGACGAAACTGGACGAACGACACTTTCGAAGGAAGGCGGGTCCTCTGGGTGAGCTCCCTCCGCAACGGGCTTTTGGCGAGGGCCTTCTGGCAGGGCTCTGGCGCAGTGGCGAGCTCCTGATGGGGGTAGGGGAGAGGGGTGAACATGCCGCTTCCCTCTGGTTCCTTCCCTCCGCCCTCCTCCCACATCCTCCTCCTCCTCCTCCTCCTACTCCTCTTCCTCCTCCTCCTCCTCCTCCTCCTACTGCTACTCTCAGCGCCCTCACGACTACTATGCCTCTATCTCTCAATAGTCATTAGCATATACTCCCAGTGCCCTAACCATCGACCCAATTGCAGCCCATCCAGACCCTTCCATACTACACGTTAGTCGACGTTGTTTCCTCTCCGTATGGACGCTAAGTCGCCAACGCGGCCAGATGCGCGGCAGGAATGAGACGCGGCGCCGCACATCGTGCACGAGGAAACGTAATGCCCCTCGGACGAGTGCGGAGACGCCACCCACGTCCAGGAACGCAGTGAAATTCAAGTCATGCTGGGACAGGAGCCACGATGTCATCGTCAAGAGCGTAGAGCTTGGGCTGTCCCTCTTCTTGATCACTCAGCAGGCTCCGGAATGAAATTGGGAGCGGGTGCCGATTGGCTCTCCAGGGATGACGCTTCGCCGTTTCCCCGGTTGATCGTGTCAAATTAGGGACTTCACAATTCAGAACTATGTTTGAGCATTGGCGGCGATGGCCCAGCAGGAAGCTCCCTCACCCAAAGAACAAGGGAGAGAGTAGGGCAGAATATGGATCTTGTCATCCTCTGAGAAGCCTTGCTTTTCAATGAACCTCCTCCTCCTCCTCCTCCGCCTCCTCCTCCTCCTCCTCATCCGCATCCTCATCCTTCTCTGGGACAATCCTTCACCACCAGGTCCTCCTGCTCCTCTGCGAGGCTTGGGTACCAGCTCAGGTGGACGAGGAAGGCCTTCGCGAGGAGGGGGGACCTCGAACACCGCACGTCCAGCAAATTGATGCTTAGCCAGCCCAGCGTTCTTTCCGATGGCGGACACAGCGTCACACTGCGACCGCTTCTGATGCAACACATCTGTATGCATGCATACATCCACACCTGTAAAGTAAAAATGCATGATTCTTCAAAATTCTGAAGCAATACCATGGACAGAAAATGATGCACCCAGGGACATCCGCGATCACGATGTTTGAGAGAACGCGTTTCACGGGCGCTTGCCTTGGGAACATTCGGCGGCGCGTTTCGAACCAGGGGGTGGGCTCCACCCCCAACACTCGGCGCCGTCGATCACAAGCAGGGGGACTGCCTTCCCCCCCACCCCCCACCCCTCCCCCTTCTCTTGGGGGGGTTTGAACACCCCCCCCGCGCAGGCGCCGGCGGCCGCCAGCAGCGCCCACGACGGGGACGCAGCGACGATGACCAGAGGCAGCCCAAAGGGGGGGGGGAGGGTTTGAACCCCCCCCCCTGGCGCCAAAGGGGGGGAGGGGGTTTCAACCCCCCCCCCCTCGCTGGCGACGGCGGGGACGCAGCGACGATAACCACCTCTACCACCACCACCACAGCCTCAACCCACCACCACCACCACCAGCCCACCACACAACCACCACCACCACCACAGCCACCACCACAACCACGACCACCACCACCACAGCTCACCATCACCATCAGCACCACAAAAACCCACCACCACTACCACAACCCACCAACAACACAATCTACAACGCCACCATCACCACCACCACCACCGCCACAACCACCACCATTACCACCAGCGCAACCCACCACCACCACCACCACCACAAACCACCACACCACCACCACCACCGCCACCACCACCACCAGCACCTCCACAAACCACCGCCACCACAACCCACCACCACCACCACAAACCACCACCCACCACCACCACAAACCACCACCACACCACCACCAAACCACCACCTCCACCACAACCCACCACCACCACCATAAACCACCACAACACAACCACCACACCACCACCACCACCACCACCACAAACCACCGCTACCACAACCACAACCACCACTACTTCCAGCAGCGCAACCCACCACCACCACCACCACAAACCACCACACCACCACCACCGCCACCACCACCACCACCACCACCACCACCACCAACCCACCCCCACCACCACCACCGTCGTCCTCGTCGACGCTCCCCGCCGCCGCCGCCCGCTGCCGCAGGCGCTGGCGCCGGCTCAGAAAAGGAATTCGTCGTCGCCGCCGCCGCCGCCGCCAGGCGAGAAGATAGAGAGAGGAGAAGTAAGGGAAAGGGGAGGGGTTCGACCCCCCTTCCTCCGTCACGGGAGGAGGGGGGGGTTCGAACCCCCCCCCCACCATATCCAGGGATGGGGGGGTCCGGTTCCCCCCCCCCCTCCAAGCGACGTCAGAACGCGCTCTTTCCGATGCTTGCTGTATGTCGTCATCTCACTGGGCCCTTGAGCAAACATACGAAAACTAGGTTTGTCGGCGTGGAGCCATGAATCAGGTATTGCATCTTGAATTCGTGATCTACGAGGGGTAACATATGTGCTTCAACCGGTCAAGTCAAATAATGCAGTACAAGCGATGTGGCGCATTAGATTCCACGCAAACTATGTTAGGCAATCAATGTTGTCAATATGGTGCAACACGTGTGCTTCATTACTCATTACATGATTATTCACGGCTAGCTCCGATGATCGAGCCATCATAGCCAAAACACATATCCTGACGAAGGACCCAACCATACGCAGTTGTGAGCACCGCGTTGTGGCCAGGGCCACACAATGTGTGTGTATGTGAGAGGTGTGCCGAAATGAATAAGGGGAACCGTCTGCGATCTGCGCCACGGAGGCACTCGGTGGAGCTCCATGTGGGGTTACGGAAAGTGTGAGTGGCATGCCGAAATTAATGGGGAACCGCATGCGAAGCACTCGGAGCTCCCTGTGGGGCCACGAAACGTGTGAGGGGTGTCGGAATGGGTGGGGAACCGGACGCGAACTGCGTCACAGATGCACTCGGTGGAGCTCCCTTTATGGGGCCACGAATTGCGTGAGGAGTGTGCCGAAACGGGCGTGACGCCAACAATGGTGCCAAGAAGCGTGCGAGGGTTGTGCCGACACGGGCGTGACGCCCACATGCGAACTGCGCTACGGGAATCTTAGATGGAACTCCTCACGGGACCACGACACGAGTGAGGGGTGTGCAGAGACGGGCGTGACGCAGACATGCAAATTGCGACACAGCGGCTCTCGGTGGGGCTCCCTGTGGGGCCACGAAACGTGTGAGGGGTGTACCAAAACGGGCGTGACGTCCACAAAGGAACTGCGCCAAACAGGCACCCGGTGGAGCCCCCTATATTGGGGCCACGAAGCGTGGGATGGGTATGCCGAAACAGGGGTGGCGCCTACGTGCGAACTGCGCCACGGAGGCACTCGGTGGAGCCCCCTATGGGGCCAAGACACGTGTGAGGGATGTGCCGAAACGGGAATGACGCCCACATGCGAACTGAGCCACGTAAGACTTACACGAGACCCCGTTCTGGGGCCAAGACACGCGTTAGGGCTGTGCCGAAACGGGCGTGCGGCCCACAGGCGAACCGAGGAACTCCCTACAGGGCCACGAATCGTGTAGGGGATGTGCCAGAACGGGAGTGATGCCCACCGGCGAACTGCGCCACAGAAGCACGCGGTGGAGCCCCCTATATGGTGCCACGAAGCGTGGGAGGGGTGTGCTGGACCGGGAGTGACGCCCACATGCGAACTGCGCCACGCAGGCCTTCGATGGAGCCCCCTGTGGGACCACAAAGCGTGTGAGGGCTGTGCCAGCGATCATAATGACGACGATGGTGATGATGACATCGATGATTATGATGTGATGCTGATGCTGATGCTGATGCCAATGATGACGATGACGATGACGATGATGACGATGGTCACAATGATGACGATGACGATGACGCTGATGGTGATGATAGTGTTGATGATGACGACGATGATGCTGCTGATGATGGTGGTGGTGATGATAATGATGGCGATGATGGTGGTGATGATACTGATTAGGATGTTGCTGATGTTGATGATGATGCTGATGTCGATGATGCTGATGATGATGATGATGATGATGATGATGATGATGATGATGATGATGACGAGGGGAGGAGGGAGAAAGAGGAGGCGGAGGAGGAGTGACGCGGGGCGCTGTCCCTTCCAAACGAGGAACAACACCGCAGGATGGATGGGACAATTTGTTGCGTCGTCCCTGATTCCGCGCGGAGGAACAAAACTACTGGACTCGATGGAAGCCCATCATGAGGCCCGCGACATCCGATACATGGGAAGGTCGAGGGGATCAAATGAAGCGTCGACGTTACCACACATCCGATATGCCTAAGACACAGTCTCGTGTGATGTAACACCCAGGCGACAATAACCATCTGCTCTAACAAGTGTGCTGCCCCCGACGACTTGATAAACGCCGCGAATTGGAAAAGTCATGACGTTGGCGGTGCACGGTAAGGTGCGCGGCCAGAATGGCGGCACGTTAGGAAGGCAGAGGGCGCTTCCTGGAAGCACTCCTTCCTGTTGGAAGCCTCGTGAGAAGCCTCCGACAGAATCTGAGGAACCACGGTGCCATCGTGAGGGGAACAACCAATGACATAAGCAACACCAACTCGGAGGTCCGCGCGGATGTCTCGGATCGGCGCTGGGCGCCCCTGGCGGCGCCTCCGGCGCCGCCCCTGGCGCGCTGCGCGCGCCAGGGAGGGGGGTCCAGCGCCGATCCGAGAAATCCGCGCAGATCTTCGAGTTGTTGTGTTTCTGTCATCGCTCGATCCCCGAAAGACAGCCACCCGCGTCCCCTGTCCCGCCCACTTGTGCCTTGTTGCGCGCAGTCTTTCGGCGGTCGCCCGAGTCCCTCGGCGGTCTGTGGCGCCTGCGCTTACGGCGGCCCCTATGAGCGAACAGGCACAGGACGAGGGGGAAGTGGGGGACTGCGGCATCCAGGGTACACAGTGGCGTGATCCCTGGACCCTTCGTCTCGACCCCATCCCTGGGACGCTTCTAGCATCGGACAGATTCTGTTTTGCCCGTGCCAAGGCCCAGTGCAACGAAGAGAGGGGGAGCCGGAGAAGCGACAGCGGACGGGGGAGAGAGGGAAAACAGCGGGACCAGATTCGAACGGCAGCGGACGGCAGATCTCCGAATCCAGCCGTGGCGCATCGGAAGGGTGGCATCTGGGGCACAGGATGGCCCTGACAAGGCGTAGTGATGGTGTACGCAGTCTGCGGAGCAGAGGCGCCAGGGACAGCAACAGACACAGCTGCAGGTGTACGAAGAGGCCTTGAGGAGGTCGAGCAGGTAGCCGCCCTCGTCGGCGGCCTCGATGGACACTCTGCATCGCCAAGGATCCCACTGTCCCTCGGGAGGAGGGGAGGGAGGGGCAGCAGCTGGAGGGAGAGGGAGAGCTACTAGTGGTCCCTGAGGGGCTCCAGGGGGCCTCTTGGGGATTGTACGGGGTTCTGGAGGGGAGCAGGAGGAGCAGGAGGAGCAGGAGGAGAAGGAGCATGAGAAGGATGGGGGAGAAACCTCGTCGTACAGCGACGACAAGATCTTGATCTTGCCCCGGCCAGCCGCCCCGCGCACGGCGGCGTTTGTGGCAACCCTGTCCGACGCACCTGCTGGGCGATCCGACGAGTCGCACACCACCAGGCCCCCCCATGCCACCCACTCTTCAACTCTCGAGGGGGGGCAGCCGCGGCCGAAGCCAGAGGACGTCCGAACGGATGCAAGCCCCGTCAACGAGCATACCGCAGGACTCATGCAGCAAGCCAGGGACAGAGAGGATGTGCCGCAACCTTCGATGTCAAAGGCCGGCGCGCTTACTAGAGGCCTCCTAGATAGGGTCCGACAAGATGGGGTCGGCGGATCGAGCCGCAACGCCACTGCATCGCCGATTTATCGGCGATGCATCGGCGACGTCGGCGTGGAGAAACACGAGCTCCCGCATCGGCGATGAGGCGCGATCCTCCGACCCCATCTGGGAGGACCGAGAAGATGTGAGACAACCCTCGCGCTTATGGGACAATGGTGGGATTCTGAGACCGCGCCTCGCGCCGCTGGAGCCGCGGCTGTCTTCAGGCCCCTCGCGCGCCCACCTCCCCCCCGGCCTGGGCCACGAGCCGCAAGGGCGCGAGGGAGGAGAAGGAGGAGGAGGAGAAGGAGGAGGAGGAGGAGAAGGAGGAGAAGGAGAAGGGGGAGAAGGGGGAGGAAGGGGAGGAGGATGAGGGAGGAGGAGGAGAGGAGAAGGGGGAGGCGGGGGGGGGAGGAGCAGGAGCAGGATCAGCTTGAGGAGGAGGAGGAAGGAGGAGGAGAGGAGGAGGAGGAGGTGGAGGAGAATGAGGAGGAGGAGGAGGCGGAGGAGGTGGAGGAGAATGAGGAGGAGGAGGAGGAGGAGCAGGAGGTGGAGGAGGAGGAGGTGAAGGTGGAGGAGAATGAGGAGGAGGAGGAGGAGGAGGAGGAGGAAGAGGAGGAGGAGGAGGAGGGGGAGGAGGAAGAGGAGGAGGAGGAGGGGGAGGAGGGGGACATCGCGCGCCCCCGCGGCAAGCGTATTCTTTACGTCCCCGGGCGGCGCTGGGCTCCGCCCAGCCTTGCGGAGCGCTCGGAAGGGGCAGGTGGTCCCCGCGCCAATCGACGTCCCCCAGGAGGGCCCCAAGAGAGTATCGAGGGCTCCCCGTAACAGGGGATATGTCGACCCCTATCCCAGGCTTCGTGGGGTTTCCGAATGGACCAGAAATTTGGGGCCTAACCCTGGGATAGACGATGGGGGGGTTGTCCATTCTCGATGGGGGTGCGTCCGAATAGCCCCCTTGGGGTGTATCCCAGGGTTTTCCCATTCTTCTGAGCGGCCAAACTTTTCGGGCGAAACTCGGGGATTTGGGGAGAAACATCGCCCGCGACCCCAGAGAAAACCCCCCCAAAGCCCCGAGGGTGTCCAGAGTGGCCCCCAGTGCTGCACGCGTCCCTGAAAGATGGATCTCACCAGCGGATGAGATCGTATCTGGAACGGCTGGTGGGGATACGCGAAGCGTCCCAGATCTAACCGACTGTCTGGTTCCTTCCATGCCCCCAGGGCCCGTGTCGTCATCGATGCCGAGGCCCTCTCGCAGCCATGAGCTATTGCTCACAGTCTTGCCCTTCGGCCGCTTCGGCAGCTCGAAGTCATCATGGGTCCGGGCGGCCTGCTCGGGGAGAAGGGGAGGGAGGGAGGGAGGGGGGGAGGGGGGGAGGGAGGGAAGGAGGGAGAGAGGTAGGGAGCGAGAGTCGCGGGCAAACAACTCGGGGAGGAGGGGAGCAAGGGAGGGTGGAGGGAAAGCAGGCGATAGGAGGGAGACAAGCTATTTAGGTAGGCGTGCTTGCGCCATATCTGGCATCCTATCCCTCCCACCCATCCCTCTCCGTTGTGCTGTCATGTTCTCTATCCGCGGACGCGATTCATAGCGGACCTGGCACTCCGAAAAGGACCCAATCGCGTTGTGCGCAATCGAGAACGGGGAACCGAGCAAGAGGAAGATGAGAAGGATGAGGAAATAGAGGAGGACGAAGACGAACAGCAGCCGCGGGAATTGAACTGGAGTAGAAGGAGCGGGAGGACCACTGAAGGCAGACGGGAAAGGAGGGGGGCGACAACGAGGAGGAAGAACTCGGGTCCAGAAAAGTGTCCCGCGCTGGGGCTGGAGCGCACTTCTGAACGAAGGGAGCAAAGCGCCGATCCGAAAATGAGGCGCACGTTGTAGCGGAAGCACAAAGTTTTGAAACACCGAGCACAGACGTACAACCACTGGATCCAAAAAAAAACATGCGCGGAGAGGACGAGCCATCTTCTGGACAGAGCCTGTGAATGTGGTAACTGCGGAGGGAGAGGAGAAGGGGGGGAGGACGGAGGGAGGGAGGGAGGACGCTCGCCTTCCTCCTCCTCCTCCTGCTCAGGCGGAACCCCTCGCCGGTGGCAGAGGAGACCGGACTCCCTGTTCCGACTGGACCTGGAGGCCCCGCTCGCAGGAAGTCCCTCCTGAGAGCTGCTGTGGCCGAGTCGGGGAGCTGGAAGGGAGGGGGAAATGACATGGAATCGATCCCATCGCGAAGAGGTTCCACAACGACGCTGAGCACTGCGGGGATCTCAGTCCCCAGGTGCCCAGTGAGTGAGACATACGCGGAGGGGGGAGGGGTGCGGGCTCCAGGGGCGGAGGGTGTGCGCTCAGGGTGGAGGGTGCAGGGGGAAAGGCCGCCTGCTCGATGGCTGCGGCCCCCCTCATGGTCTGGAAGTTCATCTTCGTCTCCTGGGACTTCAGACCGGGCACCTGCGACTTGCACCAGTCCGCGCCCGAAGCGATAAAGCCTGTAGGAGAAAAAAGGCTGCCTAAGCGTGAGCTCTCCGAAATCCGAGCGGATTTCTTGGGTCGGCGCGCCGCCAGGGGGCGTCAAGCGCCGATCCAGCTCGAAAACCGCGCGGATCCCTGAACGATTGCACGTGCTCACGCTGCTGTTGGTCAATCGAGCCCGGCACCCTGGCCAGGCCCAAACTTGGCCCAGGATGGGTGTGTACGCCTCCCTGGCTTGGCCGGGAAGGCGTCTACTAACATGAAGGCAGGATGCTGCTTCATCCAGATGGCGAACAATCGGGACTCTCTGAGAGCTGGCGGGTCTGGAAAACGTAAACGCTACGAGAGCGTTCCAGAACGCTCTGGAGCGGTTCATCCTTATCCTAGCCCTGCCTCGTCGATCCTTGGCCCAGAGTGGGCCTGGCCGGCATCAATTTCGGTGTGTACCCTGGTACCCTCTGGAGCCTGGCATCCACGACTCGTTGGTTTCGCCGTCAGCCTCGCAGTGGGCCTCCGAGTCTGGGCTCGAGCGCTCGTCCGCCATCGGCGCGGCGCGGGCTCCGGCAGCGGGCAGTACCGAGAGGTGGTCCGCCGTGGCAATGTAAACGGTCACAGCCAGGGACAACGCATTGCAAGCAACAGCTGCCTGAGTTCTGCGGGGAGCGGCGGGAAGCAGGGGGAAGGGTACTCACCATCCTCCTCCTCCCCTCCTTGCGTCCTCCGCCTCCTCCTTCCTTCTCATGATCCTTTTCCTCTCCCATTTATCTCCTCCAGATACTGCCCCCTTCCATCTCCTCCTCCCCCCTCTGGATATCCTACTCTTCCTGCTCCGCCTCCTCCTCCTCATCATCCTCATCTTTCAATCATTCAGCGAGGAAGACCATATCGCTCATGTGTCCAAGGTTTTGGATCCATATTGGCCTCCCGGGGGGGGGGAGGGGCTGGGGCTAATCGGAGCCCCCCAAAGACGTCCCGACACGGCCACGAAGATAGCCCAATGACGTCCCGAAAGCCCCAAGAGGCGCCCAAGATGCCCGAAGAGGTCCCCAAGGCGCCCCAAGAGACCTCTGGGAGTCTCCCAGGAGACACCCCAAGAGTCCCAAGGGAGCATCCAAGGGGAATCTGCTCGGTCCCCCCGTCCGGGGCATCCCCGTTGGGCATCGTGTTCGGTGGGCTGGCGGGGATGCGCGAACGAGGCGCGCGAGAAAATAACTCTTTCGATGTAGTCGCCGAGTGGCGACGGCGACGCAAAGAAAAGCCAAACAACCAAATAATTGCACTTTCCTCGCTACGTGGCAACCGCAAAGCGGCAAACACGCTACTCTACGACGTCGTCGGCAGCGACGACGACAGCGAAGACGGTGAGAGGCCCGGGCCACATAGTGAGCGCGATTTTCCCCTAGATGGGAAACCGGCCTTCTGGCAGCAGCTCAGCGCGTCTGCTGAACAAACCTTTTTCTGGGTTGGAAGGTCCACCTTCAACAAAGAACGAATGCAAAGCCCAACACGCTAGAAATGAACCCATTCGTAACCCACACGCTAGGAATGAAGATGCACATTCCCCACACATTTATTTCATTTGAGGACGGACGACGACACACACAAAGTGCATGCTAAACGTGTTATAGATACACATGTGTGTGTGTTGCTTCGTGCGTCGGGGGAATAAGACCAGCTCGTTGTCAGTTTTCTTTGGTTGCGGGAGGTTTCAAGCTTGTCCAATCGCCTCTTCGAACGAAATCCTTGTAAAGCATGCGCATGTTGATTTCTATTGCACGGTCATGACTGAAACTTTTCGCGAAGCCTTGCAGTCGGATTACATGTAGAAAGCATATACTTGAACTATTGTTGTGCGAATCTCAGGTTGCGTGGATTTACACTGAGGTTTCTTTCGTGTGGGGGCGCAAGTCTACGTTATCAAGATCGGCCGGTGAAACCAACAGAAAACACGTCGTCGGCAACGTTCGAGCAAAGCGCGCAGCCTCGGCCCCACGAAGAAAACCAGAACGCCCCCCAAGACATGGTGAACGGTGAAAGGCCGTATTCTGAACCATGGCACGGGCATCCGGGCCTGGGGATCCAGGCGGGGACCCACTGGGGATCTAAGCGGGGGCCACTCTGATTGTACGGGATACGACCTTCTGGACTGCTGATAATTCCCATGTGTTTGGAGGGGACGCAATCCGACCACTCTGCCCATATATACGTAGCACCCCGCGGATGCGGATAAGAATGAGGGAGCGGTGGGGACGTCGGCAGTCTGCAAATCTCTGGGTAAAACCCACCGCAGGCGCCACAGTTTTATATATTATGCAACGAGCCCGCCGCAAACGTTGATTTTTTCTTGCGCCCAATGTGAATCGGTCGCGGGTGGGTCGCGGGTGGGTCGCGGGTGGGTCGCGGGTGGGTCGTGGGTGGGTCGCGGGCGGGTCGCTGGTGGGTCGCCGGTGGGACGCCGGTGGGACGCGGATGGGTCGCGGGGTGGGTCGCGAGGTGGGTCGCGGGGCGGTCGCGGAGGGGTCGCGGGGGGGTCGCGGGCGGGGTCGCGGGCTGGGTTTCGCGGGCTGGGTCTCGCGGGCTGGGTCGCGCGGCGGGTCGCGGGGTGGGTCGCGGGGTGGGTCGCGGGGCGGGTCGCGGGGCGGGTCGCAGGTGGGTCGCGGGGGGGCGACGACAATAAACAACCGACGACAATAACAACAACGCAGCCAACATAATCCTCACCGCGGGCTCTCCCATCGGCCACGCGCCCAGGCAGAACGAATGACCGTTCGGCTTCCTCACTCTGATATTTGATCAAGGCCAATTGTGAATCCCAGGGCCCGCGCAACAGGGAAGGAAGGCAGCAGGTGGGGCGACCAGGGGGCGGGGTCGTCTAGAGGTCAACCGAACGCCGGGGTGGGGGGGCTTCCTGGGATTAACGGAGCGCTGGGGGGTGGGACCCCCTAGACAATTACTCAGAGCACCAGAGTGCGGGGTGGGGGGGGGCGTCTAGAAATTCAGTCTGCGTTGGGGTGGGGGGGGTAGCTTCTAGAGATTTACTCGGCTCTACGGCGGGGGGCCTCCAGCCATTCACTTAACTCTGGGGCGGGAGGGCTTCTTAAAATTTACTCAGCCCTGGGGCGGGGGGGCTCGCAGAGATTTGCCCAGCGCCCTTGCGGCCCGCCGCCGCCCGCCACCGCCCGCCACCGCCCGCCGCCGCCCGCCGCCTCCGCCCGCGGCCGCCGCCACCGCCGCCGCCGCCGCCGCCGCTCGCCGCCGCCGCCCGCCGCCGCCGCCGCCCGCCCGCCGCCGCCGCCCGCCCGCCGCCGCCGCCGCCCGCCGCTGTGCAATCCTGTGACCTACGCTTTGTGGCTTCAGTCCACTTCGCGGGCAGGCTGCGACGTCGGCCCGCTGGCAAACGTCGCGGCAGCCACTTCTTCAAACGGTCGCCGCCCCTATCGCGCAGCAGCTTCATGCGCTTCGGCAGCCCATTGAAGAGACCCTCCGCGTCGCACTCACTGTTCTGTTCGCCTCCTCGCAGCAGCGCTCCAGTCGCCGCGCGTAGCCCCCTGAGACTCCTGCCGGCACTTCGCAGGCGCGCCCCGATGCAACCTGCGCCGCGCCCGCATTGCCGCCGTCTCGCGCAGCAGGGCAACCTGCAGGCCCCTGGGCTGCAGGGCAGCACTGTCGCCCATGATGGCTTTCAGGCCATTCTGCGCAAGCGCTCCCTTGTGCTTTCGCGCAGTAGCACTGCTGTTTGCCATAGAAAACCACTGCCCCCGATATGCGACCAGCACGTCACGCTTCGACGCCGAAGTCTGGAAACGCACATTCAGCGCTGCCCTCGCCTGCTCAACGAGACACGACGCCCCCTGCGGCGTCTCGCCGGGAAAGCTGCCGTCGAAACACGCGCGCAACTTCCCCCTGCAAAGCAACGGAAACAGCCAAGTGCGCATCGCGCCCCAAGAATGCCAATGCTAGCCCGCAGGGTTGCACGGCAGATCCGAGAGATAACTTGGACCAAGGGCTCCGCCACCCATTCTTCCCCTTCCTGGCCAAGGCCATCTCGTCAGCCCTTCTTGCTGGTGAGCGCGATGGAACTGCAGAGGTGCGTCCGCGCCGCATGATTGTAACGCAGCGCATTGTTGCGCGCCTGCCCGCGAGACACATTTCCAAACTCAACCCGCTCCTTCCGCATCCCAGTTGACAGCGATGCCTTGGGACACCTGAACTTGCGCCCCCAAAGCAAGCGCGGGTCTTCGTCGTGGCGCTCCGCTGCGAGAACAGGACATTGTGAACTTCCTGAAGTCCTGCATTTTCGTGGGACTCGCTGCTGCCTTCGGGAGCGATGGCATGACCCTTCCGTAGGTTGGTTCCACTCCCTTATTTTTCAGAGCCGTAGCAGACCTTGCAATTGCTGCACTTTGGCCCCTGCCAACGCAGCCGTGGCCCCCGCCTTCGCGCAGCCCGCTTTCCCGGGAAACCAATCGTCGTCAACGTCAACAGTCGCGAAGAACTTCTTCGCCGCTTCCGATTGAGGCGCCGGCCGGACCCTCTTGGTCCACTTCCCGGCACTGGATGTCAGCGTGCCAGATTCGGCCTTGCAACTTTTTATGTTTTTTTTTTTCTCCGCGCCTCTCCTACCGGCCAAGCCCGCGCCTGCTCGCGCGCTGGCAGCTCCCCAGACTTCGCCCCCAGCCGCAGAGTGCGAAGTAACTCCTGTTCCTGCGCGCGGACCAGAAAATCGACACGACCTCAGATCGGCAGAAGAAAATGCGATGGCAAGCCTCGATCCACAAGCGCCTAAAGCCCAAAGACGTAGGGAACGCCATGCATTCGGCCATCGCCCATCCCAGATCGACTCGCGCTCAGACGTCTCCACTGGGAACTGGAGGCACACTTACTGCTGGAAAAGATCAATGCATGTGATAAATCGCTCCTGGAGGCGAACGCACTTGCACTCGGAAAGG